AATCACGCAAAGGCAGCTAGTAGGAGGGAAGTTGCAGGAGGGGAGAAAATTTGGGGGATAACTAGGGAATCTGGGGGTTCCCTTCTCCCCAGGATCCCCAGATCCCCAAGCCATCTAGATCAAAATTGAGCAGGCCTCCCTCAACAGAGGGGGAGGGAAAGGACCCCCCCATCTCCTGCCTACGACAGGGTCCTTTCAGAAGCCCCAGGAAGGCTCCCCACCCCTTTGTGCCCCCCAATTCAGGGGACTCTGAGGGCCCAGATAAACTCCTGGGGGTCCTCAAGGCCCCTCAGAGAACCAGTGACCGACTTTCAAAATGACCAAATGACAGCAAGGAATATCAATCCTTCCACCCTCCACCCTCCAGTCAGAACTGAAGAAGCTTCTGGGATGAGAAGCGAAACGTCTTCAAGGGAAAACCCAGGAAAGTCCACTTGCCTTTTGGAAAAGCCCCTTTGGGCCAAGCGAGACCTGGAGGAGGGAGACTCTCCGGAGAGACCCCCCCTGGCTCCCCTCGACCCTTCTGAAGTCTCCGCTGACCCAGCCCCATGGGGGGCCTTAAGGGAGCTTAAAGGGGCATCTAGTCCACCCCTGCAGGCACATAGAGAAATGGGGATGGTGGTTCAGATTCGTGGGAGGGGGTGCAAAAGGAAGTCCACAACCCCCCTGGACACTCCTCTAAAGCTGCAGTCCCCAAGACTGAAAATCTTCCCCTCCCTCACCTTCTCCGCTTCTATTGGGGGAGATATTGGGGGGGATCTGAGTTGTTTCTCTAAACTCCCCCTTTAGTGAAGGGGGCTGGAGCCCTTCCCTTTCAGGTGGCCTTGGGGGGCTGCAGGGGCGTCTATTTGGGAGGGGGACAGGAAAGAGGCCTCGAAAAGCATCCAAAGGCAGCTCATAGGGCTGAAGATGGGGGGGAACAGGGAAGGTGGGGCTTGAAGGGCGGGGAGAGCCCAGGAGCATGGGTGTGGGTATCCTGATTGTGGCCCCCTTCCCTTCTGCTCCCCAAAGGAAGAGGGAGAGAGAAGCTTGGATATTATTTTCCCTCCAGCCCAGAGGGGGGGTCTCTTCCCTCCCCCCATATTTCCTGCCGTTTTGGGAAGGGGGGGGAAGAGGTCCCACCGGGATCCAGCGTTCCCTGCAGACAGACGGAGGCCTGGACCGGCTGAACTTCTGCCTGCCTTTTTCCACCCTGGGGAGATGGAGGGGGGTCCCTCGGGAAGCTCTTTCTCCTCCCCTCCCTCATTTTTCTTCCCACTCCAGACCCCCAACAAGGGGGAATCCCGCTGGGACCGACGGTTGCACATCCCTCCTCCAGGGGGCGCCTTCTGGCAGTCCCTCTCAGCAGGTCTCCCGTCGCTCCGCCTTCCCGTCTCTCCGCCCCTCCTCTAGTAGCCTCTGGGAACCATGGGCCCTGGAGTCCCTCCTGAGGGCTTTCCTCTTTCTGCTCCCCCCCCGCAGCCCATTTCCTGGTCCAGCAGAAGTCCGAGTGCCATTTCTTCAACGGGACGCAGCGGGTGCGGTTCCTGGACCGGTACATCTACGACCGGCAGGAGATCGACTACTTCGACAGCGACCTCGGGAAATACGTGGCCGTCACTCCGTTGGGGCAGCCCGATGTGGACAAGTGGAACAGCGATAAGATCTACATGCAGTACCTGAAGGCCCGAGTGGATTCCTCCTGCCGATACAACTACGAGGGTCTCCAGGCCGACCACATTGTTGGCCGGAGAGGTGAGTGGGGGAGGAGGAGTTCCATGGGGGGGAATGCAGGGACCCCCCCTTTTCATTTAATTTATTAGGGCTCTCCCGGATAAAGATTTACCCCTTATGTATTCTCTGCTCTCCGATCTACGAAATTTATTCATTAGTATTTATTGCTATTTATTGATACTCCTAATCCCTTCCCCTCCCTCAAAGCGGGGATCTGGATGGCGTAGGATATAACATCACCCCTAAATAAAAATGTATCAAAAATAAGGTTAAAAAATAAATTACCATTAAAAAGTTTGAAATTCTACAACGATGACAATTAAACATGCCAAAGAGAAGAAATAGATTCCTCTCCTTCCCATCAGTCCCATCATCTTCCTTCTCTTCCCACAGTCCAAAGTTTCTCCTACCAAGAAAAACTTCTTTCCAGAATATTATACGAAATATTATACTTTTTTCTGGTGGGCGGGTAAGAATCCAGGAAAGATTCCTCTTGCCCAGTATATAGATATATTTCAATATAATCTATACACTATATAATATTTTAATATAATATTTTATATTAATAAATCAATAATATATTGATTTACTTATCAACTTTTAAAACCATCTCTCACACAGAGGGACTTTGCATGGTATACCCATAAAATATAAAACCACCAAAATAATCTATAGGATTTAAAAGACAAGAATGATTAAAATGCAGTAGTAAATTAAAAGGGGGGGGGCTTCAGGAGGCCTACCAGCCCCACGGCTGCCTCCTCCTCTGTGCCCCCCAAGCAAAGCCCCAGAGCCCCCCTTTCACCCCTATCCGGAAGCCCAGGAATGGGGGAGGGGCTCCCTTCACCTCTGGGACCTTTGGGATTTTAGGATAAAAAGTGAACTTCCAAAGGTCTGGAAAAGGGAATCAGGGAAGGCTCTTTCGTCTGCTGGGCCCTGTCCCTCTTTTAGTTCTTTTTATTCTTTATTCAGAGTCATTTGTTCATCCAATTTTGGGGGTCTGAGAGAAAAGCCCCCCTGGAAACCCCACTTTAGGTCACAGACTCAGCTCCACCTGCAGCCAAATCGCTTCCCTCTTCATATCTGGGAAGGTTCCTCAATTGGGGGCAGA